CATGTGTTACTGTCCTACCACCCCCATTTTTACATCCCCAAACAATTTACTAATACTACCATATAACTAGTATATTACAGGCATCATGTAATTTCCGCCAAACAAATAGGACATTTGTTAAAACCCTGTTGATTTCAAACCTATATGCATGTCACATTCCTGGCATCCTTATGTTCAACAATGTAATTTGAATTTCATATGTTCATCCTTCAGTGACTTCCTTGCCAGCTTTTAAGTTGAGATTTTCACTACTTCACTGAGCAAGTGAAAATTGAAATGGTATTTTGTTTGATTTCTGCTGGGTGCCGTATTGACAAATGAAATCATCAACCTTACTATCTTTCTCTCCCTCTATATTCCCCCAAATAAAACAGAACTCACATGTGTATCATCTTTTTATGCTCTGATGAGTTCTATGCCACGCTGTAAAAAGATTGAAACTCAAGTAGATTATTTTCACCATCTCCTTCTTACACAAATATTGTGATTCATTCAAATCTTCAAACTCCAAATGTACTGTATAAGATTTCAGCCAAACACAGTAAGTCAGTAATCTATTCAAGGAAAACAGACAAAAGAACTGCTGTCTATGTCTGATTTAAATACCAACTTGATTGTGTTTCCCATGAAGATATACTAATAAGGCAGGAGTTTCTCTAATGGAAGGAATCCCAAGAGGTTTATGTACTACATTAGAAGGCAATTACTGGGGCATTTCTGGCATAGGCTATTGCTGTTTCATCAATAGAACACAATTGTGACTGATTTCCATCTGTATGCCTGTTTATACAAGGTCGGGTTGCTCACATTTATTTGTCAGGCTGCTCACATTTATTTGTATATTGATATAATCTTCCCTAGCACACTTCCTTCAAAATTTGATGACAAATTATATCATCCACTGCAGTGGTGGAATTCAAAAACTTTTACTACTCGTTCTGTGGGCGCGGCTTATTTGGTGGGCATGGCTTGGTGGTCATGTGACTGGGTGGGTGTGGCTTAGTGGTCATGTGACTGGGTGGGTGTGCTTGGTGGGCATGGCTTGGTGGGCATGTGACTGGGTGGGCATGTGACTGGGTGGGCATGGCTTGGTGGGCATGTGACTGGGTGGGCATGGCTTGGTGGGCATGTGACTGGGTGGGCATGGCCAACTCAATGTCACCCACATCAAGGGGTGCCTCACCTGGCCCCTCCCCTCCCAGCCATTCCTTGTCACCCAGCCTCAACTTATCTATAGTTCTGTAAAAATGTTGTTCACCTTTTTTGACTTTATTATCTGCATACTATAGATGTACTTTCATGGAACACTGAAAGGAGAAAATTTTTATTTATTTATTTATTTATTTATTTGATTTGCCAATTGTTTACAAGATAATAAGTATAAATGGCTCACATGCTTTACTCAAGAGCGTGATATAGGCAACAGGCTTTTAAGGGGCTACCACAAAGAAAGGGGGGGCAATGTATTTTCAAAAGCACCAGGAGGCAAACAAGAAGCAATGGATGGAAACTGAACAAAGAGAGAAGCAACCTAAAACTAAGGAGAAACTTTCTGACAGTGAGAACAATTAACCAGTGGACCTGCTTGTCCCCAGAAATTTTGGGTGATCAATCCCTGGAAATTTTTAAAAGACTGTATGCCATTTCTCTGAAATGGTATAGAGTTCCCCCAAAAGTCCCTTCTAAGTGTTATTCTGACACCTTTCCCAGGACCTCTACTCAGAGTTTGGCATCCTCAGTTTTCCTGCTTGAGCAGGGGCTTGGACTAGAAGACCTCCAAACTCCCTTTCAACTCTGTTAAACACACATGTATTTATGCTCTGGACTATAGACATTGAATGCATGTAAACCCTGAAAAATATGTGGTAGCCCTGGGCAAAAGAAAGGCAGTAGAATCACTCTAGGTGTAGGGACAGTGTAAAATATTAACACATGATAAATAATGGAACAATTAAAAATAGTAGCACTGAGTTTTCTCGGTCTCTCTCTCTCTTTCTTCCTATTTCCTTTTCTTTCTTTTTCTTTGTCTCTTTCTGTCTTTCTCTCCCTTCCTTTCTTTTTCTCTCTCTCTCACACACACCACACTCTCTCTCTTCCTATTTCTTTTTCTTTCTTCTTTCTTTCTTTCTTTCTTTCTTTCTTTCTTTTTCTTTCTTTCTTTCTTTCTTTCTTTCTTTCTTTCTTTCTTTCTTTCTTTCTTTCTTTCTCTTTCTTCCTCTTTCTTTCTCTTCCTTTCTTTCTTTTTTTTCTTTCTTCTCTCTCTCTCTCTCTCTCTCTCTCTCTCTCTCTCTCTCACACACACACACACACACACACACCCCTGTCAGCCTTCATTCCCTCTCACTCCAGGCACCTTACTCACAAGGGGAAGTGAATCCAGCATTAGAGAAGTTCTGCAGATAAACGGACTTGCATTTGAAGCTCCTGCAAACTTCCCCATGGCTGGATTTCCCCCACCCTCCCCTCCTCCAGCATTCTTTCCCTCTCGCTCCAGGCACTTTACTCACAAGGGGAAGCAATACTTCTAGTGTCCATGAAGAATCCAGCCTTGGAACAGTTTTGCAGGTTAACGGATCGCTGCTCCGCCCACAGTCATGTGTTTTCAAGTGGCTGCTTGAAAATGCATGGCTAGGGCAGGGGAGCAGTCCTCCTTTAAACTGGGACAGCGAGCATCGGGTGAGTGGGGCAAGCGAGTGAGCGGAAACTGGGCGACCAGGTTGGGGGCGTGGCCAGCTAGATGTTGCTACCGGTTCGGCGACCCACGCCAAATTTTTGCTACCGGTTCGCCCGAGTAGGTGAGAACCGGCTGAATAGCACCTCTGATCCACTGGCTGTGCTTACTAGTCTAGGAATGATGGATTTTGTGATCCAAGATTTTCAAAGGATACTCATCATTATAATATGTTATTCTAAATCTTTTTACTGGACATTCTGTTGGCTGCCCATCTTACCACAGGATTTCTTTTCTTATTTATACAACTTTGAACAGAAATGTAACTGATTTAAAAATATAGTCAACAACCTAAGTAATAGCAGTATAGTCAAGCTACATATTTAAAAAATAATTGTAGTATCAACAGTATTACTCTCTATGTAATAAATTAAAAACAATTCCCCAATCATTCACTGGTAGATATTAATTCCATTATGTTATCAAAACAAAGTTTCCACATTTCACTCTATCTAGTGGAGATGGTTCCCTCCCTTCACTTCTACTACCATCTAGATGTTTTGGGGCTATTACTTATGCCATCTAAGCCATCATGGTCAATTGTGATCTGCTGCAGGTGGCTTCTGAATGATATGATACAAATCATGACAAAAAAACAAAATATGTCATGCACAAAAAATGCCATTTAGAAGTCAAGCTCATGATTTGTTTCAACCGTTATCTAGTACAAAATTTGATCTGTTTGTTCTTAATTTATCATCCATTAAAGAGCATTTTGTTTTTCAACATCCTGCTGGCCAATGGCAAAAGACTGCAAGAACTGTAATTCAACACAGTTGACCATTATGGCTTGTTCCATATACCATGATTCAAAAATGATTCAAACCCTGATTTAACATCTATATGAATTGAACCATTATGCTTAGCATGTCATTGTTGCTAGTAGAATGCATTTAGAATTGATATCTTAACCAAGCCTGATTGATTAGCCTTCCCCAATTTGCCATTACTTTCAGATAATATACCATGAACCTAACACATCTGGAGTGTATCTTCATGTTAAGATACATCAATTAAGTAAAATACTAAAGTCAAATTTAAAAGATTATACGGGTTAATTTACTTCTCTCAACATAGACACATAAAAAATATTTAGAGATTAAAAATAAGTTCTTAATTAATCTATTTTTATAAATATATGTTTTCTTATAAAATACAATGAAATATAAACATGCATTCATTTTTTAAATTAAATTTGCTTTTTAATCCCCAGAAATATTGCAACTATTGCTTTAAAATTTCTTTAATCTGATAAAACCCTTGATTATATCAGGCTAGGGAAGAATGAAGATATTAGATGGTCATTCAACATAGTCGCAGGACTCCTATCATAATTTGGTATCTTGTTACTTTTGCCTACATTTCCCTATTTGAACTACAGGAACTAATTTATTCATATAAAAATTGCATCTTGCCATTCAAGTATACATAGACTATTAAAGCTAAATTAGCTTAATTCAACCTCAATTACAAAAATAGAAAATAGGCAGATACAGCAAGAAAAAATCATGCACTAAATATCAGATTACATTTCTGGAGAAACATACCTTTCTAAACAATATTTTCACTATGGTAAGAAATATTATTTTAAAAATTGTCAAAGCAGCCTTGTAAATAAATGTATGTGTGTTAAAGATACTCCTAATTCAGAATCTACCATCACTTCAACTCCAGAGAGTGCTCTCCTCTCATCCATTCCATGCATAGTTCATTCTTTTAAATTCCAAACTTAATGGTTATATAGGGCCTCCTGTAATACATGTTACTTTACTCACTTCATCACACTATAAATTAGCCCAGTTCCATTGAGTGTCTCCTGCTTATTATGCTGGGAGAAATAAAGGGGGTAATAATTCTGCTCTAATGGTACCAATTATATCATGTACTATCCAGCAGTAGCTTTTCACTATGAAGTAGTGGTTTGAAGTTCTTCATTTGAGTGGAGCTATTAAGATAATGGGTATATTTGCAATGATGTCTATATTTTGTGATTTAAATATTTTCTGATTTAAATTATCTTTAAGTACAAACTAGGTTATATTATCTTTAAGTACAAATATCTGTATACCACAATTTGAAAATTACCTCAAGAACAATGAGAAACAGTGCACATAAAAGGCATGGCCCAGTTAGAATGAGACAGCAGCATTCAATAGCTTTCAGATTCTGTCAAGCAAGACACAATATTTTGCTTCATTCATGCTTCCTTTCAATAAGCCTCTATTCAAAACAAACGAAAAGGGCATAAGTCTAAAGTTGTGGAACTTACATAAAGAGGTGCTTCAGTGCAGCTCAATTCCATCATTGCAGCATCTGCAAATAGAGCAAACCAAGATAATTATCGCACACTTAATTGCAAAGCATTGATACTATACTGTGGATAGTCAAAGATACTAAGACCATCACCATGGTATCTGAAGAGTTCCACCAGCAATTCTCTGTCCCATACATTTGTAAAAGCAGTCATTTTTTTCATTATCCTCCATAAGAAGGAAAACACAACAGGTGCAATGTTTGGAAAGTTTACAACCATTTTTTTTTTTACAAAAACTACTTAAAATTAACTGAATTTGCATTATGTAAGGTCATCCAGGTGCCAATAAGTTTAATAAACTTTCCATTTGGAGACTCACCAAATAATGCTTGCAATTTAAATAAATGAAACATTACATAACCCACAGTTTATGTAACAGAAACAAGACAATACCTAATTAATGAAAAATAATAATTACCTAAATAATTCAAATTTTGTAACTATATTTGCCATTATTTAAAAAATCTGAAAGAGTATATTTTGATAATGCTATCAAAACACTGTACATTAGACAAGCTAAATCCTTTGTGAGCAAAATAATAAACTGACACAAATATGACATCTGAAATGCTAATATTAAAAAACAAAACAAAATAAAGCAGTTTGGACTCCATAGTATACTCTGCCTCTCCTCACATGTTCCTTAAAAACATTGATTTGGCTAGGAAATAGTTACTGAGAATTCTTACAAAAGAATTAATATTATTATGTTCAAACTTTCTTAAATGTAAACACAGCCTCCATTCATTTTCAAACCTTCAATATTTCAGCCAAAATTAACAATATAACCAGATATAATTTTCTCCCAGCTCTCTTTCTCATCCTCAGGGCTATAATCCTCTGACATAGCAATTGTGATTCAAGACAGTTTATGCAACAGTAAATTTATTATTGGTAGTCCTTGTTTAGCAATTGCCTCATTTAGCAACTATTCACAGTTACAACAGTGATGAAAAAGTAACTTTACAATCAATCTTCACATTTATGATCTTTGCAGGTCTGTAAAGCAAAGAAAAGTTGAAACAGGAACAGTTTCATAGTTAACATTCCAAAGGTAGATGGAAAAATAGAAGAATATAACTTTATTATGGTCTTAGACCAACAATAGACATTACTATTTACAATATATATAAAAAATAGTACTGACACATTATAATACATTAATAGTGGATAAAAACATCCCTGTTAAGAAAATACATGTTCTCAAACAGTTAGGGTCACTACCTGGTTTATATAAGTGGAGAGCCAATAAGTAGGTATGTAAATATCATTTTCCAAAGATTGTTCTATCTCCAAAAATTGGCACAAATTGACAGCTATAATTCTGTAATCAATTTTTTTCTTGTAGACACTGCAGTAACACAGAATTTTACCACTGCATGCATAATAGCCAGGTTTGAGTCCTGGAGGAGAAAGCCTACTTAAAAATTGTCTGCCCTCCCTGGCAATCTCTCTAGTAAGGGGAGAATATACAATGACCTATAAACTCTATATAACTCACAGTACAATAAAACATGCGAGATACCTTCAACTTCTCATTTACCACATATACATACCCGTTCTGCTATTGGTGTTTTCTTATACCTGCCCTGAAGGAATGGGAAATATTAAATCCGGCTCTGAAGAAACCTATGATTAGATCATTTAGATATCTTGCCGATTCCCACATTCCCTGTTTGATTCTGTCCCTGCTGTGGCAAGCCAACCTATTTAGTTCTTGCAACTCCATTTCCTTCATTCTATTGATTACTACTTGCTTTGCTTGGTCAAAGTCTAGGGACATTAAGAAAATTGGTGAGAGCCCATAGGAGCCCAGCTTGTAGTCTATCACCCGCTTCCAGGGGGAGGGGTAGTTATCAGTCAGTACTAGCAGGGTCAGTCCCTCTGAAAGAAATGCATTTTTAGCCAATGAATGATCGCCATCTTCCAAGCTCTTACCTCAATTTGAGGCATGCCTGTCTCGATTCTTAACTGGACATTTGGAATTCCTTTGGGTGCAACTAAGATGTCTCGCAAGAATTTGGTTTGTATAGGTTCTAGCAAGTCTTTTTTTACAAGGATTCCTGTTTGTGCCCCATATAGAATTTGTGCCAATGTTTTGGCCTCAAAAAGTTTTGAGGCTGCAAGTACTAATTGCCCTCCACCGGTGTAAAAAAATGTTTAATTGCATTTGAGGACCTATAGGCTGCTTGCAATGTGTGATCCAGGTGTGCTTTCCATGTCCCTTGCGAGTGGAAAACCACCCCGAGGTATCTAAATGTCCTAACCTGTTCTAAACTATGTCCTTCTATTTTCCAGGAGTATTGTCTATGTCTTTTAGCAAAAACTAAAACTTTTGATTTGTCAAAGTTAAGGACCAGCTTATTCTGTGTACAATATTCAAGTGTTGCCATAATTGCTGTGTTCAGTTCTATGGGAGTTTGTGAAATTATAGCAGCATCGTCGGCATATAGGAGAATTGGAATTTTACATTGTGCTACATTAGGAGGATGTAAATCAGACTTCTGTAAGAGATCGGTCGGGGGTTAATATAAAAGTTAAAAAGGGAGGGGGACATGATGCAACCTTGCTGTACCCCTTTTTGTACCCTTACTGGACCGGTTAAATTCCCTTGAGGATTACACCTCACTTTCAAGGTGGAATTAGCATACAATTTTTGTATGAGGAAAAGGAGGCGTTTATTGATGGTAGTGCATTTTAATTCCTCCCAGAGAGTGTTCCTGGATATTGAATTGAAGGCCTGCTTAAAATCAAGGAAGGCCACAAAAAGCGAGGATTTTTTTTTAATGTATTTTTGAAACAGATGCTGAAGTACCAAAATATGATCTTCTTTCTCTAAAACCAGCTTGCTCATCTTTGATTATCCCCCCAGATATTAGCCAATCCTGAAGTTTATAGTTTAGTAAATTGGCATACAATTTACTAATAACATTCAGAAGGCTAATAGGTTTATCATTGCCTGGATCATTTCTATTACCTTTTTTATAAATTGGTGTGATAATTGCTACTCCCCAATCTCTTGGCATACAGCCCGTTTTATCTATAAATGTAAACAGAGATGCTAAAAGTGGAGCCCACCAACTGGCATTCTTTTTTATTATTTCTGGCAGGACATTATCAGCACCTGGTGCCTTATTAGCTCGTTCCGGTTGTTAGGAATGATAGTCACCTAACAGTTGGGTTGGAAATATATAAACCAGGATAGTAATTTAATACTGTATCTTTAAGAGAATGCTGTAATTGTGATTGGCTGAGGTTCCTCCAATGGCCATAAGATGGAGCCAGAAACCTGGTTTCTTTCTCCTTGCATTTCCTGTTTTGCCATATTGCCTGGTTGTCGTTCTGCTTGGATTGTTGTGAGTCTTGCAACTGTTAGCAAGCTCCATTTACTGAACTTATGATACTTAACTTCGTTTTTGGATTATCCCTGGACTGATATTAACTGTTTTAACCGTGTATGATTTGGACTGTTTGTTGGATTTTTTTTACCCGTTTACTGGAAGTAAAACCTACATTTTACTATTCAGTGTATCTGTATGCTGGTTGTGTGTTATTCAACACCACTCTCACTACATTTCCCTAAGTGCACTCATTCTCCTAACGGGAAATACCCCAACACTGGTCAACCGGGATATCTCTCCTGGTGTAACTGGGGGCCAATAAGGAGTTTGGTCCAAACTAATTTGACTCTCCTTATTTACATAGTCGGGATCTGTATATAGCTCTCTAATATATTCTTCCCAGGCATGAATCAGTACCTGATTAGTTGGGGGTAAGGGAATTTCCCCAATCCTCTAGTGATGTACAAAGGAAAATGGATGTTTTTCAACCTCTGCTATGTTCATAGTACCCCTCTTAATGACAATCAGACTGTGCCCATCTGCCCCTTTACATTTAAAAATAATAATAAAAGGGATCTTAATTTTTAAAGAATGAAGAGCTGATAAATTGCAAAATGCAAGGATCATTTATATTTCCAAGAATTCCTTTAAGCCCAAGCATTCTATACGGCAAGGGGCTTAATGAAGGGGGGAAGGGGAGCAGGTAATATTCCAATATATATGACTGGTGTGCCTCTTAGCAGTCATTCTGAACAAGAAGCCGATCCAGAAGTTATTTCCTAAGAGTAACCTCAACATGTTCTGAAAATTCTGAATGAGGCACTTTAGAAAAGTTAGCTTGTTTCACAAGGAAAGGTACTGATTTTGAATTCATTATATAGCTGTACTCTGGCAGCAATCTCTATTTAATAGGAGTTACTTTTCTACATGATTGAGCATGTTGAAGAAATTACTCACATGCAATTTCTAATCTAGCACATAGGAAACTACTATAAGAAAGAATAGGCATGGGATTGGTTACTGGACAGACACATCCTAAATGAAATTGGGTTTACATGGAAATTAAGTCGGTTAGGTTTTATAGGAAACAAAGATGTATTTTTTCCATTAGGACAACCTGGGCAGCAATTTTTTTCCTTGTTCTTATCACTTTGTGTGTGCCCAAGAGAAGCTGATGCATATGTAGGAGTTGGGCATTGAATAGAGAGAGATAAAGTACACAGATGCTGACTTTGTTCTCCTTTTAAAAGGATAAGGTAAAGAGAGGTTAGTCAAGTTTAACAGATGAAGAATTGCTGTGGGCAAGATTTTACAAAACAACTGATTCATTCACATAAGTAGAATCTGGATTTGGGAGGCTGAGGGAAACCTAATCATTTTCCCCAGTTGGATGTTGCTGTTGTTGCTTTATTCAACTATGTAAATCCTTTTTTGCTGTCCATTAATGATACAGTGGAGTGGGTTGTGATGGCCGCAAATTGCCCTCCTTTCTCTGTAGACAGAAAAGTGGGGAGGTAACTGAAGAAATATTTTCATGCATTAGAATTAAGAAATAGATGTTTAGAGACAGAAAGGAATTTGAGGTATAAAACCAAAGAGCAAGAAGTTTATTTTCAGACTGTCTGGATTGTAATACTGTACTAAGTAATTGAGTAATT